TTCAGATTCTAGGGGTTGGGGCGGGGCGAATTACTGGCATTTTCTATGAATCATTGGAATCAGTCTATCAAAATGTGATCCAAAATAATGTAGCAAAGGTACTCCTCCCCCTGCCCCTTCATGCACCATTCTCAATTATTTTTCTATTGCAGATGAAATCTTAATTTTCATAGGTCTTCCGGTCATAACAAGGGCAGTTCAGTCTAATCATCACAGAGTTCTAAACGTTATTCATCTTAAAACTTCACCCCCGCCCCCAGCAGGGCTCCCTAGGCTGGGAATGCTGCAGTGAGGAAGGGCTGGGAGGGCTGCTGCTTTCTCACAGGAAAGACTGGCTTGTCAGGGCTGTTACGTTTGGGAAGACACAGAATGCGGATGTTTTTTTCTTCCTTAAGGGGTACCTGAAGTGGTCAGAGCCTGCTGAGCCTGGCTGCCCTTGACTTTCCCCTCTGCTGGTGCCCATCACCCTTTTGGGAGGGGAACACTTTTAAGGACACTCACAGAGGCTGCCTCCTGCAGGGTCCACACCTGAGACCCAGGCACCGTGAGTCTCGTCCCCACTGACATCCAGGAGGGACAGCTCCCTCTCCATACCCCATTCCCTCTCCCTGCTCTGCCCCTAAGCAGGCAAGCAGCTTCAGGCGGATTTTTACCATTGTGCTTGGCTTAGCCAGTGTCAAAGGCAGCCGCTGTTTTCCAAAGCCCAGATGGTGGTAGCAGGTATCCTTGGCCCTTACCACTCTGCACCCAGGACGACTTCCTGCTGATAGTCTGCCTGAGGCTTTCTCTGGTGCCATGTGGGCAGGTCAGAAGTGCTGGAGATTCAGCCCTCAGCCAATGAGAGGTGGCAGCTGGAGGATAAATACCCCAGCTCCGTCTCCCCCAAGGTGTGTTCCGCCCCATCTCTCACAGCTGCTGCGGGACCGAGCCCAGTGTCCATACCGGAACTTGCCCATCGATGGCCCATGCATCGCCCCCTCCCTTCCTCCTGTGTCACTCCCCCAGCAGTGCTGCCTGGGGTGGCCTCCCAGGTAACCAAGCTCTGAAGGAGAGTCACATGTTCGTTCAGGCTCTGCTCCTGGAGAACCCACTCTCAACCAACAGTCACATATATCCCTGTGAAGAGTGGAAGAGCTCGGCACCTGTTGGCTTGTCCTTAGCTTAGGGGACCTCTGCTGAAGTTCCAGGGCAACAGAGGTTGCACTTAATAGTCTGCTTTATACTGTTTACAAAGTGCCTCCGCATTAGCCAGGGTTTCTCAACCTTCCAACTTCGTTGTGCAAGGCTCTCTTTTGCGTTGTAGGATGTTTATCAGTATTCCTGGCATCGACTCACCAGTGGCAAGCCCGGAGGTGGGACAACCATGTCTCTAGATGTTGCCAAATGTCTCCTGGGGGGCAAAATCACCCCAGTTGAGAACCACTGAGAGTGAATGACCTGATATCATTTGGTGTAAACTGCAATCCAAAGAGAAGATGATAATGATGATACAGTGGTATGGTGGTCATGGTGATGGTGATGTTGATGATGATGCTGGTGGTGAAGATGATGGTGATGGGGGCGGTGCCCATGACAACACTGCAACATGACATAACGTCCAAATGATTGATCAAACCTGCTCAAGTGCTGTCCGAGGACCTGGAATTTGACCCCAGGCCTTCCGCATGCCTTACCTCACTCCCAAAGCCCATGACATTGACTGGAAATATTAAGCTCAATTCGCAGACAATGAGCTTTAAATAAACTACATATCCTTCATGAAAGTGCCAGAGCCAAGAGTCAAGCCAAAGCTTTCTGATTTCCGAGGCAGTGTGCTCTTCCCAGCACGCTGCTCCTTCCCATTTTACAAAGACCAAAGAGTTGTTTTTGGGTTTAAAAGGGAAGCTGTTTTCACTCTTGAAAAATGTTCCTGTTATTGGTGATCAGCACTATATGTTAGAACTCAGTCCTTGAGTTTTGGCTAAGAAAGAATTTAGAGCTAAGGCTCAAATACAAGCAAAAGTTTATTTAGAAAGTCACAGAGGTAGAAGAAGTGAGCCCTGGAAGAAGTGAGCCAGCTGGGTTGCGTGGGCTCAGGGAGTAAGTTACAGAGAGAAAGAAAAAGGGCCCTTGAAACTTAGGAGAAAGAAAGAAAGAAAACGCACCTGGGGAAGGAGAGGCAGAAAGGTGTAGAGGGGGGAGAGAGAAAGAGAATCCTTTGTTCTGAAGGTTTTTATCTGGAGGCCTCCGGGTAGGATCTCCATTGACTATTCATCGGCTTTCCAGGTGTGTCCTTCCAGGGTCACGGTCTCTACTGATTGGCTGGCGCCAGGGCAGGGGGTCAGTCATTGCAGCTGGTCCTAATGTCAGCCATGGTGTCACTCTGTCTGGTTTTGCTGTTTTTCTGGGCCTGGAGCTGAAACACAACTGAGGCCTAGATGTTATCTCTACTTTGACCAAAACTCTCTCTCTGTGCAGTCAACAGGCCCAAAACCTTGTTCCTAAGATGACTTGATGTGGGTAAGAACCTCACGATCTTGTGGTCTTAATGCTTAAGGGAATGGTCATACAAGGGCTTGTATGGGAGTCGAATGAGACTTTACTTCAGCCCCTTTGGTGCCCCTCTAAGGGGGTCTACCGAATGACTGGCAACATGCCAGTGGAGGGAGGTCAGGGCAGGGTCCACACTATATGACCAGCAATATGAAAGGTCAGGGGGTCTAAACCACGTGACCAATGATATGCTAAGGGAGGAAAGGCCACCCTGGAGGCCAGGTCCCACCCTACAATTGTCCATTGCTGGGAACCCGGGGCTTCCTCCCTGGGGTGACCTTCTGCACCTGGCCTCTCATTCCTACCCTGCTCCTGTCTGTCTGCCTGCCTACTATGTCACTTCTACTGCATTCAGATCATTGAATTGAATGACAGAATAAAGCCAAGTTGTTCAGTGTCCGGGACCCACTGTGACCAGCAGATCGGCTGTGAAGTTGGCTTAAGGAATAAATATCTGCCATCTACCACACTCACGCAAGCTTAATCCAGCACTTCCATGAGCAATTGATGTTTTCATGGTACTTAGAGGGCAGAGGCTCCCCCCTACAGGCACTGACATCAACCCCACTATTTCTGCTTTCAAACAAGACTCCCTGGCAGGTTCTTTTATACCATAGCATTTATTGTACACCTATTGTGTGCAAGAGAAGGTGGCAACTCCAGATTCCAGTCCAATAGGGGTTTAGAGGCTGTAGCCTAACCAGAAACTGGCAGGGGGTAGGAGGAGGCTGGGGCTTTGTCTCGAAGCCAGCTGTGTGTACAAAGCAAGTGGACAACTTTTCCTAGGTGAGGGCATTTTCCAAGTAGTGCACAGGGAGCTGATGGAGATTACAGGGGCAATTAGAGTCTCCCTAAGCCAGCCCTTGGGACAGCTTTACCTGAGGAATTGTGGGAGGGGCTGTGGAAGATACCGGGGTGAGTCGAATACACCCCCTGCTCTCTGGAAGTAAGACTTCAGCTGCGTACCTGGTGTTTCTGTTGTTTTGTTCTTACTAATTGAGGCACCGCAGGGTGGTTTCTGCCCAGGCTCCCCACTCCCAGATCGGCAGCAATCAGCGCCCAGGTTGGATGAAACTGTCAGCAGGGGAGGGCTGCTGTCAGTCTGCGTCAGTTCCAGAAACTTCACTCAGGGCTATTTCCTGGCCCACCTCCCTCCTCTGGCAGTGAATTGCTCAGTCAGGAGGCTCCTAATAAAAACCCTGCGCTGCCTGCCATTCCCAGCACAGTGACATCCAAACGCCTCCACTCCTCTCTCTAAGCCCTTTGTGGTGTGACTTCCGCAGGTCCCTCCCAGCTCCCACACACGCTGACCACCAGGCGAGTCCCCTCAGGATCCACGACCTCTCTCCTTCTGCCGGGGGCTTTGCTCTCTCCCAACCCTCTGCTAATCTACCTCATGGTCCCCTACTCTTTCTTAAAGATCAGACGCAAGTGTCACCTACTCCAGGGAGGCCTCCATGATGCCCCCAATCTGAGTTAACACCCTCCACTGCACTTACTGTGATTGTAACTCCTACCACAACCCCTGGCTTACTAGTCTAAGTATATCACTGCTCTGTGACTCCTCGTGACTTGTGAGCGCAGCACAGTGCCTGTCACCCAGTAGGTGCTCAGAAATATTAGGGAGAAGGATACAAGAAGACAGACATAAGAGAGAAAGAGAAGAAAGAGAGAGGGGATAAGGAGAACGGAAGAAGGGAGGCATGTGTTAATATCTATCCACGATTGTTGCAAGCCAGCATTCTTTCTATCAGAGATCGATTTTATCCAGGATGCCCAACAGGGCACCCAGGGCTGACGCCTCCTGAAGTGCTTGCTGGATTATCACCTGTCCATTGCAATCCAAATGTCTAGTGTCAGCGTACTTTCCTGAGCTCGAGTCTTTGAAAATGTGTCATCCTTGAGTGCTAGGGAGAGTGATAGCAGGCTTGAAGAGCCCATTGTCTGCCCCACCCCCAAGACAAAACAGATAACCAGCATGATTCTGAGGAATTATCCACATGATAAATGGAAGCATCATTTCTCCTTACACAAAAATGCAAATGATAATTAGCAAGCAGTCATCTTATACGGCATCAAACAAAGATGAAAGACTCAGGCCACGCCCCCAGAATGTAGCCCAGTGCCCAGCACTTAGTCTCACCCTTGAAACTGTTGTTGACAATGGGGATATCGAAGGCAGTTCTACTTACAGTGCAGCATTTGACCCTGCGCAGGGAGACCGTTTCCTGACTAATGAGTCTTCAAAAGCCCAATCCACCCACTGATCTGGTGCCAGGCTTCTGGAAAGGATCAGCAGGTCCTGATCGCGTCTGGAGTCCTTGCCTACCTCAGTCCCGGGCCCCGGCCTGGGACCTGACACATAGCATGTCGCGAAAAATATATCTGTTGTCTGAAAAAAATAAGTCAAAAGCTGGTTGAATGCCCCTAACTTTGCTTCCCAATGCCCCCTTCTCTCCGCCCTTAAGCCTGAACCTGAGCAACAGCGACATCCTGACCATCTACGACGGTGACGAGGTCATGCCCCACATCCTGGGGCAGTACCTTGGAAACAGCGGCCCCCAGAAGCTGTACTCGTCCACGCCAGACCTAACCATCCAGTTCCACTCGGACCCTGCCGGCCTCATCTTTGGGAAGGGCCAGGGATTTATCATGAACTACATAGGTAGGTGTTGCCTCCCGTCAGGTTTTTTTCCTGTGTATTTAGAGGCAGGTGAAGATGATTTCCCCTAGATATGTCTTTTTGGGGGGAAGTTTGTGCTACACAGGTCTTTTAATATATTGGCACAGTAAATATAGGCAGGTTTTAAGGCCTTAGTCAGAAGGACCGGGGTTTGAGTCTTAGTGCTGCTATCAATGGCTCAGTGACCTTGGGCAAGTACATAACCTCTCTGAGCCGCTTTTTTGCTGTCTGTAAAATGGAAATAATGACGCACACTTCACAAGATTGATAGCAGGACTTAGTAGACAGAGCCTCACAGCTTTAGGATTCATCGTGTTTCATCTGCCGTCGCCTGGACTTTGTTTCCTCAACGCTACCCCGGATCTGCACTTATTAAAGCAGTATCTCGCCATCTTGCCTGGACCAAAGTTTGGTTCTCCCCTAAGGACTCTTCTTCCCCCAAATCCCATCAGATGGAGACAGTCCTTCCTTTCCCACATCCCAAACTTTAGGACCAATACATGCAGGTTACGCTTTCTTGACCCTCAGCACGGCTTCCAAGCCATTTACCTCCCCCCGTCTTAAGAAAGGCCCGCTAAGTTCGAGCCAAGTTCACACTTGACCATCAAATCCGCCCTTATTGTTTTGTCCACGCACACCCTTCCCTTCTCGCTCCCCACCCTGCAACACTGTCCCCTTATTCATCACTGGCTCCATCACCCCCCTCTGCTCAGCACCTAAACACTGGCGGGTCTCAAGCTCCATCCTGGACCCTGTCCTCTTCTCTATCTAAACTCACTCCCCGTATGATCTTATTCAGTCCCATGGTTTTGAATGACACCTATTTATACTTCATTGTCCCATAATTTGTTGTACTTCCAACATTGGATTCTCCCGTCAACTCCAGATTTATCTAACTCCCCAGTGAGCATCCCTTTGCATGTCCCACTGGCATCTCAGATTTAGCATGGCCAAAACAGAACTCCTAGTGCTTTCCCTACTCCCCCCGGCCCCCACAACCACCACCACCCCACTGCTCCTCCTGCTCTCTGCCCATCCCAGGAGAGCGAACCACATCTCTCCTGCTGTCTTGGGCTGCTTCCTCTTTCCTTGCCCATATGCCATCCATCCTCTCAGCTCTACCTCCCCACTATGTTTCAGATTCAAGTGCTTCCCTCCATCTCTCCATGGCTACCACCTAATCCAAGCTGCCATCGTCCCCAGCAGTTAGGGGATCGGAACATGAGGCCTCGCTGATCACAGCCCTGGAAGGGACCTTCACTGATGCAGTGTCTGGTTCAGCCCTGTCATGTTACAGCAGAAGCAGCCCTGGGCCATCAAGGATAGGGACTTGCTCAGCAGGATCATACTTGAGGGGCACAGCCAGGCTCCTAGCTCTTAGGTTTTCTCCACCTCCAACATTCTTGGTGACAGCAGAGAACCTGGTAGACACGAGAGGGGAGCTAAAACCTGCCTCCTTTTGGCATCCAGGGTGGTGGGCGGTGTGCTTTGAGAATTTCAATGGGCAAGCTTCAGCCAGCAATTCGGGGACATGCTGACACCTCCTGGGAACAAGGTTGACATTTGATTTCCAGGATGGAGCAAGACAAAAGGGTGTTCCTCCTGCCCAGACTCCCACTTCTACCCCCCAGCACCAAAGACCCTCCGGCTGGAGCAAGATTCCATGCCTTTGGTGCTTTCTCCCCTGGGCCTGAAGACTTGCTCATCTCACCCTACTATAAAATGTTCTCTCTGTGCCACCCCCCACCTCTGAAATACTCACCACTTCCCTGACCACTGGATGTGTCAGGAGCCTCCTGCATGTGAAAATAAGTCCCTTTTTTATTTCCAGCTGGTGGCTGTTTCTCATCCCTGCCCACTCTACAGGCAACTCTCAGAGAGTCAAACACGTGTTGATCTTCTTTAATACATTTCTCGGGGGCCTTTTTACCCTGGATTGTGCTGCTAAATATTTTCAGAGTGTTATTGCTGCTACTTTGCATGCATCTCCCACTCTTGACTGGGCAGTGCCCTGGGCCCAGGGGGACGGCTCATGCCGACTGTCCAGCGAGGTGCGCTTCAGAGTCAGCCACCTTTGGAAGGAGAGTGTCTGGTGATGTGGCTCCAATCTATCTCCTTGGACTTTTCCCCCTTTCCCTGCCAAAAAATGAGGTCATACTTTTGCTCTTCTGTCTCCTCCGGTGCCTGAGTCAGTCTTCCAAGACTGCAGTCAGCTTGACAGCAGAAATCTGACTCTATCCAAGGCTACCCAAGGTTAACCAGAAAGTCTGGCCAATGCTCATTTTGGCCACATTGAAGAGGAGGTGCTCTTGCTAATTGAAGCTGAAACTTAGACTTGTGTGACAGTTTGACGTTGGCAAGCACTCTTACATATGTTATGATATTTTATTTTATCCTTCAAATGCATTAGCCTCATTTTCCAGACAGTTTGGTTCACAAAAGTCTCTTGACACCTCCTGTGTGCCAGGCCCTGCACGAGGCACCAGGGTCTAGGAATGAATAGAAGGCTGTTGCTGCCCTTGAGCTTGCTGGTAAGATGGGAAGAAGGAATCTGGTCACAAGCAAAGTCAGGATCATGTGCTGATGCACGGGGTTTCAGAGACCGCTTCCCAGGGGTACTCAGCCTTGCTAACATGGGCAGCACATAAAAGAGATAATAGTTCCCTTTGTTCTTATTCCTGTTAAAGAAATACACAGTTAACTTTACAGGGAAGGCAAGTGGACTTCTGTATTTATTTTTGATGCCAATCAATTGCTTGTGACCACCAGTGTTGAAGACCATGTTGAAAAGAATTCATAGGAGGTGATGCCTGAAGTCACTGGGAAAGAATGATGTGATTGATTAATGATGTCTGCCATGGCATGGGAAAGGTATTTGCTCTCATAGGTCTAGATTTGACCAGACACAGATGCAATCTCCCTTCAGTAGTGGAATCAGAGGGAAGGGTCAGAGGTTTCTCTGATCATCTAGATAATTCTGAACCTCCTTGACTGATCTCAAGACCTAAACCCCAGCTCTGGAAGTTGGTTAAGGCTTGCCTGCTATGGCTACGGTCAGAACCATGGGCTTACATGGTTCTGACCTCCCATAATTCTTTGCACAGACAGAAGCAAAGACCCATTCTCATCACTGCTTCTTGTGCTTTGCTAGTGTCTTTGGCCAAGTGCATAGAAGGGAATGGGAGTAAAAAAAGAATGAGAATAAAAAAATCACTAAGTAAGCAGTGTTTTTCAGAGAGACGTTGGTCACTTGTGTATTTATTTCTCTAATCCTAGGATAATAAATAAGCTCAATATTATAGGTCAACTCCAGTCAAATGACAACAGCTCCCTGGAGTGCTGTGTTGAGAAGGACTGGAGGGTTTAGAGCTTAATTCAATGAAAGAAATTGCTATGATTGATTAGCAATGTCTGTCATGAGCATAAGACTAGTAAATTGTGGCATGTATTCAGTGCATTTGGGTATTTCTTTTGCCCAAAAGTAAGACCATGGTGCTGATCTTGGCCATAAAACTAGAACCATGACTTCAGATCCCTTTTTTCCTAGTACCTAGTATATGGTAGGTCCTCACAAAATCTTAGTCAAACAAATCAATGAATCCATCTAACTGCACATTAATTAGCATTCACATTGCCCTTAGGGATAGACAGGGTCATTATTTGTGTCTCTACTCTATGATTGAGGACAATGAGGCTCAGAGATGTTTAGTGACATGATTGGAGTCACAAAGCTTCCAAAATAAATAAAAAGAATTGGAAGGGAAGACCTCCAACTCCTAGGCCAGTTTCCTCATTCCTAACAAACTTAAGGGCCGCTGGAGACAGATAATTCTAGAACTTCCACCTAGAGTGTTTGATGAATATGCAGATTCCTGAATCAGGGTCTCTGGGAGTGGAGTCTAGGAGCTGAAGGGCAGGAAGGCTAAGTGACTCAGCCAAGGCCACTGAATGTGCAAACAATGAGTCCAAGACTTCAGTCAAGTCTCTGCTACAGAGTGGCAGCAACTGAGCAATCACAAATGCAATGAAGCCACAAAGGAGACAGGGGGTCTCACAGGAATGGGTAACCTTGTTGGCTCACACTGAAAAGTCAGACAAGCAAACCTTTCTCAGCAAAGCATTTGGGCACCAGGCAGACCGCCTACCCAGTATTTGCCCCCATTTCTCCCCTTTCATCCATAATTTGCACATTCACAGCTGTGTCCTAAATCCAGGGCTTGGCTGATTCTTCAAAGACCTAAAAATAGAAGCTCCTGTTCCCCACCAAGCAATTCCAGAAGCCATCTCCTCTCCCTCCTTCTTGCAGACAGCCATGAGATCTCCTCTCCCCAAATAAAACCATGATGAAATCCCAGGAATATCCAATGTTGGTTCTCAGAATGACTCTCCTGCAGACAACGGAGGTGCTTTGCTTTTCCCAGAAGCACATAAGAACTGCAAATTAATTATACAGCATAATTAGCTCTTTCTCAATATCTGTGCAGTGGGCACTTGGAAGTAAGAAGAGTAACAGTGAGCTTTGGGTTGCTATCTTAGTAATGAGGGTTTGCTAAAGAAAAACAAAATTATTCCAGAGGAAGACTCTAAGATAACAAGCTGCAAGTAGCATTTTCTGGAGCGTGGTTAATGTTCACCAATGATAATGCAATGTGATGATAATACAATGTGAAGAATGCACCGATAATTATTTTTATTTTAATAGCCAGGTATTGATCTCCATCTGCATTATAAAAATATATATTACTAACCCATCAAACCCATGGATTTACAGACATTCTTAGGATGAGTCTATTAGTTACCTATTGCTGTAGAACAAATTACACCTCCCCAAAATTAGCAATAAGTATATATTATGCCACACAGCAGTAAGTATGTATTATGTATTCTGTGGGTCCAGAATTGAGACGTTGATGTTGGGTCGTTCTGGCTCAGGGTCTGTCATGATATTGTAATCAAGGTGTCAACTGTGGCTGGTGGTTCCCCTTCCAAAATGGCTCACTTCTGTGGCTGGCAAATTAATGCCAACTGTCAGCAGGAGGTCTCAGACTCTCCACATGGATCTCTCCCGGGGATGCTTGAGCATCCTCACAACTTGATGCTGCTTTCTTCAGAGAAAGTGATACAATAGAAACAGCAAGGAGAAGAGCTTCAGCGCTTTTTATGATGTAGCCTTGGAAATCACACATCATTACGTCTGCAATAGCTTATTGGTTATGCATGTTGGCCTGATCTGGTGTTGGCCAGGACGATACAAGAATGTGGATTCCAGGTTAGAACAACTGGGGACACCCTGGAAGCTAGCGACTGCAGAAAGACAGGCATGAGGATGATAAGCTCTCCTGAACAGTGGGGACCCTGAGACGCAGAGAGAAGTGACTGTGCCCAGCCACACTGCAGAGTTAGCAGAGTTAGCATTCTGCCTGACTCTAAATCCTAAAGTAACTTTGTATCAAACTGAGAGAATGTTTGGTAAGTTCAGTGAACCACAGGGAAGGGGTTATTGTAAAAGCTCGCTATGGAGGAGTTCTTACTGTTTTAAGGGATTTTGGAACTGCGTTTTTTCCTCTGCCATGTGCAAAACACGCGCCCTCCCCATTTAAGGACAATGTCTTTGTTTTGAAGAGGTGTCAAGGAATGACTCCTGCTCGGATTTGCCCGAGATCCAGAACGGCTGGAAAACCACTTCACACACAGAGCTCGTCAGGGGAGCCAGGATCACCTACCAGTGTGACCCCGGCTACGACATCGTGGGGAGCGACACCCTCACCTGCCAGTGGGACCTCAGCTGGAGCAGTGACCCCCCATTTTGTGAGAAAAGTAAGCAGTCTTGTTTTACTTCCTCTAGGTCAATGGGTGGCGAATCCCTCCCCTGGAATTTTTTTTTCATCAATGCTCTGGAGCTATTGACTGTAGACTCTAGCCTCCCTTCTACTCCACCGACTCATTGGTGCTGCTCTCGAATGTCACTTTGTGGCCCTAGGGCAGGAACCTCAGACTCAGGCACCTTCAGAAGCCTGGCAGATACATAAATGAGTGAAATGGACTCATGTCAGACTATAGGGAGTGGTGAGAACTGCGGCGAAGGGCACTGCACTGAGCCTGTAGAAAAACATCACTCAAGTTCTGGTCTTTAAAATCCCTGTAGAAGCCAAGCAAAACAAAGCAAAGTGGACCTTGGAGTCATAGTTCAGAACCCCCAGAGGAGCTGGCTGACCTCCTGCACAGAGCCTCCAGCCCAGGCTCCTGGTTCCTTCTGCCCGCTCCCCACCCCCGCCCCGGAGTGTGGGCCAGGCACGTCCGGGGACAGCTGAGTCCAGTGTCTGGAAAAGGGACAGAAAAAGGAAGTGCTTCTGGTTTCTCCACTGCGGCCTCTATTGCAGGGGCCGGAGCTAAATTCCAAGGTGGCCTCTTTCTCCAGCCATTTGTCTGCCACTTCCTACAGGAAGCTCCAGCCTGCGACCCTCTGGCTGGGCACCTGGTAGAGCTCTTCAGCATGACCTGAGTCACCAATTGCACAATAAGCAATATAGTCATCCCTCGGTGTCCTCAGGGATTGGTTCCAGGACCCCTCACAGATATAAAATGGCATAGAACAATGCGTACAATCAGAAAATACTGTTTTTTCAATTCATGGTTGGTGGAAGCTGCAGGTTCAAAACCTGTGGATACAGAGGGTCAACCTATAGGGTGTGATCTGAGAAAGGGAGTATTGGGGAAGGAGTACGGGGCTCGCCTGTAATTCCTGCCGTGGGCATCTGACGTCAAAGAAAATTAATTGTATAATTGTGGGAAACATGAGAGAACTTGCTAAAAACCCACAAAATCAGCCACATAAACAGGTCTATTTGTTCCACAAAAGTATGTGGGGGGTGTGCATGGGATTGTGTGTATGCATCTCATCATAGAAAATTAAAAATGAACAGTGAGACATGCCATGGGAGGTGATATGACAGACGCAGCACGAACTCATTGACATGATCTACGGCATCACATAATCAACACTACATTGTTACATATACACATAGTAATGTGTAGAGTAGTATGATATGTATTATATAATAACTTTTAACTGTTGTAAATAATTATTTTTCATGTTTTAAATAATAATAACTTAAAATTACTCAAGTAACGAATGCTTCCTTATCATACTCAAGCTGTAGTAAAATTATGAAGTGGAAAATAAAATTCCCTGACAACCTCACTCTCTAGAAATTATGCCACTCTTAAAAGTGCACACTATATATGGTTCCAAATGCATATGCATGTCTGTGTGTAGCCCACACATGTACATGCATGTGTGAATGTATTCTGTATACAGACATATAGAGATATACCTATGGAAATAGCTACGGATACAGATATCTTACCGTAACAAGGATCAATTTATACAAACTTCCTCGCAACACAGAAATAGGGATATCTTTTCATATTGCACATGTTGTCTACTTCACTCTTTTCAATTGGTCTATTGTTTTCCTTTTTCTATTTTGATTTTTTAATTAAAAAGGAGCAGATGCTTGTTTTACTAGATTCAAGCACCACAAAGGGAGCCGTGAGTGCCCCACTTGATTCTCTTTGGTGACCGCTCAGGATTTTATGAATGGCTGTCCCATATTTAACTCTTCCCTGTTAAAGAATTTGCACTGTTTTTTTTGTTTTTGTTTTTGTTTTTTGGTTTTTTTTTTGCCATTACAAATAATGGTGAAATGCACAACCTTGTACATAGGTAGGTCTTTGGGCTCTGCCGCACACATTTCTTTGGGCCAATTCCTGCAGGTGGCATGAAATCCAAACCTCTTTTGCCCTGGCCTGTTCTCCAGCCACCTTTCATGAGCCTGAGATTAACTTCCAAACTGGACAAGAATCAAGTTAGGAACCTTTCTAGATCACCCTGTAAGTCTCAGGAAACCTGTGACCGTCAAAAGGCCGTAACGCACACTTGGTCTGCTCTCGCCTCGTGTAGTTATGTACTGCACCGACCCCGGAGAAGTGGACCACTCGACCCGCTTAATTTCGGACCCTGTGCTGCTGGTGGGCACCACCATCCAGTACACCTGCAACCCCGGCTTTGTGCTGGAAGGCAGCTCGCTTCTGACCTGCTACAGCCGCGAGACCGGCACGCCGATCTGGACGTCCCGCCTGCCGCACTGTGTCTGTGAGTCCTGCGTACTGACTCGATGCCAACATGATTTCGCATCTTCTTATTGAGGAGGAAGGTTGGGCTGCTGGGGGCGGGCATTCCCCGCTTTGGGAGTGTTTGTTATTATTACTATCACAGGACAATAGCTCACATGCATTGAAAACATGGAGGCTACAACATTTACTGTATAGGTACCAGGCACTGTGCTAACTCCTTTACCAAGTGTCCCTCTCTTCTTCCCCCGGGAGCCTGGGGGCATGGCATTGCTGCCTCCATTTTAAGAAGGATCAGAGAGCTGAACTCATTGCCGCAGGTCACACAGCACAGCTGGTTAGTGGTGGAGGCCAGAGGCAAACCCAGACCTGCCTGTCTCTTTGCACAAAAGCAAGCAGTCCACGGGGCACTGAACAGGGCAGGTTTAAACTGTCTGGCCTCATCCATGGGGAGCCACCAAGGCAAATGTTTGTTTAAAAAAACACTTTTTGGGTTTCTTAGCCACAAAAACTCAAAAAGGGTCACTCCAAAGAGGGAGGGGTCCCTCTTCTTACCAGGCAGGGGAGGGAGAGAGCAGGGGTCCAAGTGTCTCAGCCCCACTGCACCTGGGAGTCACCTGGGAAGGTTTAACACTCACTGGGGACTCGGGTGCAACTGGTCTGGGGTGTAGCCTGAGCCACGAGGAGCTTCAAAGCCCCCGGGGATTCTGATGTACGGCTGGGGATCAGACCCCTCGCGTAAAGAAAGCAGGGGGCCCCCCACCACACGTGGCATCGGAGTTTAGAAGCTGTCAGCAGCATGGACGCTGTACATCAGTGGGTTATAAACAGCTTCATTAAAGGTGCAGCCTCCCGGAGCGCCAGGCGCCGCGGGTAGGACTGGATCCAAACAGGGAGCTTGTTAAAGCGTCTGTCCTTTTCTCACCTGTCACTAGGGATCTCAGACCACGTGGCCTTCTCTCCGCATCTGCCCCTTCCATCTGATTTCTAGAATTTCAGAGCCGAAGGGAGTCTGGGAGATAAAATGCGACTGAGCGGTAACTTAGAGATAAGACAAAACTGCCCCATTTTTCAGATAACAATGGTTGTTATTCATTGATTGTGTAAGGTATTTTGCAAAATACCTTATAGATGTATGTGTGACCATATGTGTGTGGTATGTAGATAGGTATGTATATACATGTGTGTGCATATGTATCAGGGAAACTAAAGCTTGGGGGGGAAATGCGTAACAATAGTTATCATTTATTGAACATATAAAATATATTACTAAATGGGTTGTATATGAAAATATTTGTGAATATGTATGTGTGTGTATACACACACACACACTATATATATAATATATACATATATACTCTATATATACACTATATACACTATATATACTATATATGTATATATATAGTGTGTGTGTGTGTGTGTGTATAAAAGAAATTGAAACTTGAAGGCAAGTATGATTAAGATCATTGCTCTTCTTCATGGGCAGAGGTAGGACCCTGGTCTCCAAGTTCGGTGTCCTTTCCACCAGCCTCGCCTTCGCCATTATTTCCCCATGGGTGGCAGGGACATCCCCATGGAATCGTAGCCCTAACCCCTTAACTACAACCACATCCCATCCCCCAGTCCCCAGACCTTGAGGTGAAGTTCCTGTTATGGGTTGGATTGGGTTCCCTGAAAATAGATGTTGAAGTCCTTCCTCACCCCCAGTCCCAGAACCTGTGACCTTTTTTTAAAAAAGAGTCTCTGCAGATGTCATCAAGTGAAGATGAGGTCATGCTGGATGGGGACGGGAGCTAATCCAGTGACGGGCGTCCTTGTAAGAAAAGGGAGGCCGCCATGCGATGACAAAGGCAGAGATCAAAAAACCCCCTGAAATCTTAACAAAAAAAAGAAAAAGAAAAATGGGGATGGAAAGAGACTTTGCTTTTAGTGATGAGTGCATCATGCAGTATGCAGATAATATTTTATTGAGTTGGACACTCAAAACCTGCATGGTTCTATGAACCAATGTCACCCCAATAAATTAAATTTAAAAATTTTTAAAAAAAGGCAGAGATCAGAGTGCAACGCCTGCAAGCCAGGGCCGCCCAGCACCGCTGCTAGCACGGGAAGGGGGAGAGGCGGGGCGGGCGCGCCCCTGCAGGTTTCAGAGGGGGCCTGCCCTGCGGACCGGACCGCTTGATCGCGGACGTCTAGCCTCCAGAGCTGTGAGACGGTGCAGCACTGCTGTCCTAAGCGCCCCCGTGCGTGGCGCCTCCTTACGGAAGCCTGGGAAGCCAGTTCCGTTCCCTGGTTCTCCTGGTGGCTTGTCAGGATGAGGAATTCAAGCTGCAGAAGCCCAGGCATGAAAAGCTAAAAAATCAAAGCTCATTGTAAAATACGGAAAGGTAGAAATATTTTTAAAAAGAAAGAAAAGGCACGTCACTCAGGAGGCACAGCCTCCAATGACCTTCTGGGTTGCAGCGGCTGTTGGACGTCTGAAGGGCCAGGTTCCCGCCCTGCGGGGCCGCCTTTCCCTGAAATCTCAGGGTTGGGGCTCAGTGGAGATGGCTTCCATGACACCCATACTAATGAGTTCACGAGCCAGGCTGGGCGTCAGGGGACTCTCAATCCTCCCAGAAGCCTCCCAGGAACCCAACATGTGGTTCCAGCAGCACTACAGGCAGGCGACGCTGGCGAGAGGCTAGTGCATGGCAGGGAGGCGCCCGGCGTGGGCAGGAGGTTACGGTCTGGGTTTTGAGGGTGTTTTCAGGACTGAAAACACTGTCAGACATAAAACGGCTTTAAAATATTCCCTCTACTGAACACAAGAACAACCCCGATTTGATGGGCACCTTCACTGTGCCAGGGCCTTCCCCAGCACGAACATGTTTAACCCTCACAAAACTGCACGCATGGTACGCGTCTCCATTTCAAAGCAGGCTGAGGAGGCCCAGAGAGGGTGAGTCACTTTCCTGAGGTCACACAGCAGGGAAGGGGAGACCCTAGGATTGCCATTCAAGCTGGACAAACCCCCAAAGTGTTATCATCCTACCTCATCACTCTAGTCCCAGTTTCTGGGCAAAGTTCCGGTGCTTTATTGTTGACAAAGATCTTCCACCGACAAGCTCATGAGACAGACGGAACAAATTGTATAAGCCCTGGTCATCCACAGCTTCTGTTCAGGGTCGCCTACTCAAGGCCATGGTTTGGTTCAGCTGGGACTCAAAGTGTGTCTGTCATTCATAGTCTAAGCAACTTCAAGGATAGACAAGTCATGCATCGGCAGAGGAGAGAGTCTGGGATTCGCCATCAGACACATCCCCAGCTCTGCTGGGCGACCTTGAGCGAGCAGCTTGCCCTCTCTGAGCCACAGAGCTCTCATCTGAGGGCTGAAAAGGAAAATAATACTCCCCACCAGGCAGGGTTTTGGGAAGCAACTTATTTGGTCATTTAACAGCACCTCCTACGTGCAAGCACAGGCCTGGATGGCGGTTCCCAAACCTTCTCACCAGGATACTTTTGGTGTCTCAGGAATGTGTTCATCGATTTCTTAGGCCAAAATACCTAACAGTCCTATTCATTAAGTCGTCTGATCCAAACACCTTAATAAGTAACTATATCTGGATAGCTTAGTAGCTGTTTGAGAAAGTAATGCACATACTTGGAAAGAAAAGGTTGTATTTTCATTTTGTTCTGAAATAGCTGCAGCTACTCCTACCAGGATCGCGTGCCTATGGGGCTCCATGGAGCTCCTCAAACATTAGCATCAGGCTGCCCCCTTCAGTCCCGGTGCCACCTGCATTTGTCACAGTTCTTGCCTTTTAGCACAGCAGCCATGGAACATCCGGATTTGCAAAGAGGAGGCGTCATAAAGGGAATGTTGAAACAGGGACCTTCCTGGAGTTAGTGGCTCCCACAGGTCTGAGATATGTCACTGTATCTCCTCAAATGTTTCAAAAACCTCACAGACTCCTGCAAGTTGGTGGTGGCACCCCAGGGTTCCTTGGTGCACAGTTTGGGAACCGTGGTGGTAGGCCCTGAAAATACAGCAATGTATAAATAGACGAGATCCAGGTTCTCATGGAGTTTGGGATCTATTGGAAATGATGGGAGGAAAAACAAATCTATAAAGAAGATAACAAGGGTCACCCCCTCCAGGAAGGCCTTCCTGACTGCCTACACTAGGTCACATTTCTCTCTGAATTCCCATGGCATGTACAGTTACAGCTATCACAGAACCTGTGGTCGCTTATGAAAATGATCTGTTTATAAGTTAAGAGAAGCAAATACATAACTTACTTGTTAGGATTGTATCTAGCAATTATCACATCCCTCGGGCCCAGTATTTGTTACTATTACTGTTGTTATTGTTAGCAATACTAATATGGCCTTTATTACACCTTGTGGCTCCCTCGCACCTTCCCTCCTTTGCTGGTGGCACAGTAATGGCCCCTCAGGCTCCCATCCAGCAGACATAAACCACGCTACCAGAGTAATGAGGACAGGACAAATTCAGTGAGGGTTTTATGGGCGGCTCTCCGGGGGAGCACTTGGTGATTCCCCAGGAGGCCCCGGCAGAGCCTGTGTGGCCAGACGGTGACCTGAGTCAAAGCTGCCGTTGACGAGCGGTCCCCAGCGTCCTCGCCTCGGCTAGCATGCCGCTCTAGCTGGGCATCTGTCTCCATTTAGAAATCCCTGCCTCTGAGAAAGTAAGAGCTCAGAGGAACCCCTGATAGCTCAGGGGCTTGGGCACAACAGGGGACCTTCATGGCGGCAGAACCATTAAATGCCCAGGCTTGGAACCCGGCAGGTCCGCGTCTGCAGCCAGCCCTGCCCCTTGCCAGCTGTGTGACTTTGCATGAGCCAGCATCCTCATCAAAAAGACTAAGAAAATGATTATGCCCACCATGGTTATTAAAGCTCACAACAATGTGTCTGGCATGTAACAAGTGCTCAGTTAACACTGGTTGCTAATGACCACTCATGGGATACGTTACAAACCAACTGTAGCAATAACTAGTGAACCTGCCCTGGCCGGAAGCTGAGCTGGTTAGAGCGCCGTCCCCCTGCTCCGAGGCTGTGGGTGTGATCCCTGGTCAGGGATACAAGAAGCAACCAATGAATGTGTGGGTGGTTGGAACAGCAAGTCAACATTTCTCTCCCTCTCTCTAAAATCAATAATTAAAAACAGTAACTAGCAAACCTGATTTTGAGTATTTTGCCCCAAGGTGCTCCAAAACTGCACATTTTCCCTCATAGTTAAAGAAAGGGAGGAGAATGAAAAAATAGAAACGAGGGGAGGTTTGTGATCATGTCTACAAGACCATCAGCCTAACTCACTTGAATTCCTGGGAGGGAATGGGCTGGAGTCCCATGGATTTGCAAGCAGAATTGTTTAAACCTTGGGCCAGTGTTTCTCGGCTAGGAGTGATTTTGCTCCCCTGGGGACATTTGTCAGTGGCAATTTCCAGAGACATTTTTGGCTGTCACAAGAAGGGGCAAAGGGTGCTGCTGGCATCTAGTGGGTAGAGGCCAGGGATGCTGCTCAACACCCTACAAGGCACAGGACAGCCCCCACCACAGAGAATGACCCAGCCCACAATGTCAACGACGTCTAGGTTGAGAAAACCTACCTCAGGAGATTTTTTTTCAAAATATAGATACCTCCTCAGAGTGTGAAAGTCATTGCTCAGCCGCATCTCAGCTGAGGATGGGGTCTTGGTCCAGCCCATTTGCTTAACAGGCAGGAAAATGCAGTCCAGAGACGTGAAGCAATTCACCCAAGGTCACACAGCAGATTCAGGCCTCCAGGTTCAAATTCAAGTCGCTTTTCACGTCCTTCTCCTGCCATCTTCTGGGAGCTGAAGATAAACACAACGGCCTCCAAAGAAAGCTGGTTTCTGTCCGGGAAGAAATCCACAGGGAATTCGTCTCAGACTTTGACTGGTGGTTGGATCAAAATTGAACCGACGAACTTTACAGAGAATCCAGGACTTAAATCACGGCACAGCTACTTCCTTCCTGGTGGGCGGGGCGCGGGAGCTGGGGGAGGGGCCTTTCACACTTGGCCTTGCCCCTGAGTCTCCGTTTTCTCAGCTGTAAAATGGCTGTGTGGTGAGGCGATGAACTGCGGGCCTGGACCGCCGGGCATTGAAGCCCCTCCCTCCCGCTGACTCGTCTGGGCTCCCAGGCAGTTTTGTGCTCTATTCGCTCAGATACGAATGGGGATGGTGATAATAACATCTATGCCTTGGGGTTGTTTTGATAATTACAGGAGATCATAAATATAAAACTCCAAACAGTGCCTGATGCCCAGGGTGCTCTCAGTAAATGCTGGCCAGCCTGGTCATTAGTGTTACTGCCTTAAAGGATTTGGGGAAGGATTGGAAATAATATACGCATGCCATCTGGTCCAAAATGAATGTTCGAGTATTTTGGAAATTAATTAAACGATTAATTTTTTGCTGTTCTGAGCCCCAAACCCTTCAGCCCTAAAGCTCTGGCTGAACTTTAGAATCATCTGGGAAAGTTTAAAAAGAATATTCTGGGTGACAAATCAAGACGCCTGGGGAGTGGGGGCACAGCACCGAACAGGGGGGTTGCGGTGCAGCCAGGTGAGGACAGGGGTGGACCCCGCCCCTCTTCTTCCTGAACGTGCTGGTAACACCTTCCTTTGCATCCAGATCTAGGAATTTATCCTCTGTCATTTTCTATCTGCCCAGGGCCAGGACAGCCCTGGGCTTAGCTTCCAGACCATATTTGTGGAATACGTGAATGTTAAGTTACGTGAAGGAGGGGACCATGCCTAACTTGTCCATTATTGTATGTCAGGGCCAAGAACAGTGCCTGGCACATAAAAGGTGCTCAATAAATATTTGTTGTACTCATTCATCAGTTACTTTATGGAAGGAAATTCCGGGAAAAGTTATGGGGAAATTCTTCTGAGTTACCATTGCCACCTGCTGGCCACTCTGGTACATTGCAGGTAATACACAGCCAGGAGGATCCCTTACTTTCACCTCCACCCACCCAAGGGGGAAGCAGCAGCCAATCAGATCAGCATCTCACCCCCCACGCCCCACTCCCCCGGCCCCGCCCCATTCCTCGTCCTCTGGAAACCTCCCCTGACCTTCCCACCTGTGAGACAGGTACTACTATTATACCCATTTTACCGATGAGGAAACAGGCTCAGAGAGTCTGTGGCCCTTGCTGGAGGTCACACAGCTAACTAGTAAGTGGCAGAACCAAGGTTTTAAGCCATATTCCACAGCCCAGTACATTCTCCCGTGCCCGCGTGCAACCCACGCCCCGAGGTGGGAGAGCGGAAGGTGAGTTTGAGGAATGGGGAGCGGGGCAGTGCCCGGTGGGGGTGTGGAGGCAGAGCGGCCGCGTGGCCACGGCCAGGTCACGCCGGCTCTGAGTGGTTATCCCCAGAGACCCGCGTCCTCTCCTCAGAGCTTCTCTTGGCTTGCGTTTCAGCGGAAGAGTCCCTGGCATGTGACAACCCAGGGTTACCAGAAAATGGGTACCAAATCCTGTACAAGCGACTGTACCTGCCGGGAGAGTCCCTCACCTTCATGTGCTACGAGGGCTTCGAGCTCATGGGCGAAGTGACCATTCGCTGCATCCTGGGGCAGCCGTCGCACTGGAACGGGCCCCTGCCTGTTTGCAAAGGTACGAAACCCCTGAAACACCGGGACGGCGGACCCGGAGGTGCCGGGCTGGCCTGCGGGGTTCTGGGTCTGTTCCAGAAGCTGAGCTAGTGCATTTCATTACATCCAAAATATCACCGTTATTTTCTGCACCGCTGAGGAAGAAAGGATTACTGACCATTACACTATGACACAATGCCTTCCCCTTGCTTAGCATTTTTATTTGGACTGACTAAAGAGCTCTTTCTTGCCCAGGTTTTTATCATAAAGGAGAGCCACTCTGCTTTGACTCCTGCTTCGACAACGTGGCTCTAACGTGCCCTGCCTCCTGCACCCCGTTCTCACAACCACTTGGTTCCCCAAGGACTACAAGGCTTAAAGAAATTAAGCACTTGGATAAACTGAGAAATGTAGGAGAAATGAACTTAAGTGCTTTTTAGTATCATGTGATCTGGGAAATTATTTAATATTAAAACTGATTTGAGTTTGGTTTAATGAAAACAGACATGTCTGTATAGGTATTAACGTATCTGGCGCAGTTGAACAGGATCTAAAGTGGCCTCGCTGTCGTGGTCCGGGGTCCCAGAGAACCAGTGTGGCCCCTACAGAGCCCCTTGTGTGCTCCCAGCTCCCCTGGTGCTGTCTCCCTGCCTGTGAAGCCCTCCTACGCGTGAACGTCCCTGCTCTTTTGGTGGCAGTCAAGTGCCTTTATTTGAGATTGGAGGGCGCTTTCAGGTTAACAGTAGATAGTTAATACGTTAGGTAGTTTTTGAGTGGTTTTGTTTTGACAGGAAACAAAAACTAGTTTTGTTTTCATGCCATCGTAATGATGACAATCGGAAAGTAGCTTTGACCTAGGCACTAACTGAGGGTCTTGGTGTGAGCTCAGACGTGAATCCAGCTGCGTCTGAACCGTCCAGAAATGAGCACATTTCTGTGCTCAGCTACCGTGACAGCTTGGGTGCCACAACAGGAGGCCAGCCCCCATCATTTTGAATTTCCGGAGGGGGTTTACAGGGAAATGAATGAAATCCAGAGAGTTCTAGTCTGCGGCAACGAATGAATGAAAATAGTCTTACAGGGAATGTAAATCTTAGTCAAGTAAGTATGGAAAAAAAGTGAAATCAGAAAGGCTTACATAAATGTGTTTCAAGGTAAGGAAACAGTTTCACCCCTGGCTGGGCCTGCAGTTTGGGATCTTGTCTTGCCCCTCACCGTTCATCAGCCTTTGCTCTGCCTGGAAACCCTAGAAAGACCTGTACTCCGTAGTTAAGAGCAGAAGCTAGAGAAAGTCAGGCAGCCCGGGTTCAAGTCCTGCCTCTGTCGCTTAGAAGCTGTGTGATGTCAGAGATGTCCCTTTACTTTTCTGATCCTCTGTTTGCTCCTCTGTGAAATGGGGATGACAATAGTGTCTACCTAACAAGGCTGCTGTGAGGGTTAAATGAGCCAATGTCTATAAAGCTTCTGGCACGATGCCTGACATACGGTGCGCGTTCAGTAAGCACCGTGACGATGGCTGCCCTCGTCTCTTTCATATCTATCTCATCTTCTCTCAGGAGCTTGGGAAGGAAAAGCATCCAGGGATTTTCACTGATTTCGGTCGCCCACAGCAAAGAGAACATAACCCTGATTTCAGTCAAGGGCGGCATGGGGCTTCTGCTCCTGTTTTTGTGGCTTCATTACATTCGCTTGGCATTGACCAGCTCTTTCCACGTCTCTTTCAGTTAATCAAGACAGCTTTGAACACGCTTTAGAAGGTGAGTCCCGTCATGAAAAGGCCAATAAATCAAGCTAATAGCAAAAAACAAGGGCAGAGCCTAAACTCTCCTCGTCCATGTGCTTACAAAAAAGAAACAAAAAAATCCTCCTCCGCCCTGCTGACGATCACTTCAAAACAAATGATGTTGTCAGGAGAAATCGTTGAATTGACAATGTAAAGTCCTAACGGTGACCTGCAAGGGGTTTGACGTCCGTGCTGTTGGTGAGATAAGAACACCTGAGAGTCCCTCTGTGGGACAGAGACATTCCCTGGTCATAGAACTTTTCAGCCACGGGGTGCTGTCTGGGGAAACCAAATCCAGTGATGCCTCGCCTTCTGCCCTGAGCGTCCTCCTGGTTTCGAGAGGGAAAAGTCGGCCCCAGCAGATGTTCCGTGGTCTGTTTTTCGAGTGGTCTTTTTCTTCCCCAACATATCTGTCCCTGTACCCTTTTCTCTGTTCTCCTTTTGTTAGGAATTTTCCAGTAAGATGTATTAATGTGCAACAGATGCCGAGAGCTCTCCAGGGTTTGTTTTGGTTTCCATGTGGTGGTTCTCACCCTTCCAACCTCTCATAACTAAAACATTCTGTATTTTCTGTGACCTCCCTTCAGCGGTACAAAACTGCTCACGGGGTTCTGGCACCAGAAAAACATAAAAATGTATTGTTTTGTTTTGTTTTAAGTTGTAGCCAATTAAGCAGCTTTAATTATTATTTTTAGAGCCATTTAACTTTCTGGCAATAAGTGGCTCACTCAGAATCTAGGGCTGTGGCAATGACATGGCTTTAGTCACTGTTCCTTATAACAGATGACATTTTAATCTGAGCAGACAGATCAGGGGACATGTTATTGGTCCCTTCACTGGACACTCCATGATGTTGGTGTTTTGAGGCCATCCCTCTGCTGCCTTTTGCCAACCAATGAACCACGAGAATGTCTCAAAGATTTGGGGTTGCCCAGAGATTATAGCACCCTTGTCATGTTTTGTGCTCATGCATTTATTGTGGGTGTTAGGGTCACCTTGGCAGACTCCGTGAGTGGCAGTTAATGAATTATAGATTGGCGTGCAGCTGAGCTCTGTTAGACATGGCGGGGAGCCCTGGAGCCCGGGGCGGGGGCGGGGGGGGGTGCAGGGCTCCAGGTGAGGCCGAGAGAATGTGCAGCCGTGGCCTCTGAGAATCAGAACTGGGTCTTCACAGTTGGGGTACCGTCGGGGTGTGCAGTACTGAGACCTGCCCCAGCTTCCCAGCACCCCCTCCTGGAGGGGCTGATGGGGCAGCTCTGGGAGGGACCCACCAGTCTGGGTACAACAAGCTCCCTTCTCTCCACTCCATGGACAGTCAAGCCAATCTACCTTCCCAGTTAGCGCGTTCGGGATTTCCCTGAGTCTTCCCTTGAGTTGGATTTTAACCAGATTTTAGATGCATCCCCGACCTGCCACCCCCAGAAATGGGCCTGATATGATCAGGGTCCAAATAGCTTAATCCTCAGCAGTTCCAACGACCACCCCGCTCAGGAGGGGCCTGGACTCTGTTGCACAGAACCAGCACCGGCTCCTCTAGCCTCTGCCTCTTTCCCCCTCAGAGATGGTTCTCCAATGGCAAAGGCTCAGTAACATCGTGCTTTGATTGGTTGCAGGACTGGGAGGGCGGGTGCTCCCCTGGGAGCCAGGTACCCATGTGGGCTGAATGTATGCGATGTGAAGGCCTCACTGGCTTGTGTGTTTAGTAGCAGAAGCGGCAGCCGAGACGTCGTTGGAAGGGGGAAATATGGCGCTGGCTATCTTCATCCCCGTCCTCATCATCTCCTTGCTGCTGGGAGGAGCCTACATTTACATCACCAGGTAGGGAGCCTCGGGGTGGGGGGCGCTGCCGTCCGCGCAGCCAGTAGTGTGCTCTCACAGTGTCTCTACCGGTAGCTTGAGGACAGTGGCATTTGTGTGGTTGAAGGGCTGATGTGATTCAACTGAATTAGGGATAAATGTTTGCATTGGAGACCTGCCAGCCTTCCAGGGTAGGAGGGCTGAGCACCCAGCTGCCGATAACACAGACACTATGCCTGACCTCAGGGAGCTGCGCTTCGGTGGGAGAGAGAGACGTTTTCATGTCGCCAGCCTGCCAGCCCATCTATTCCATCATTCACCCATTCATCCGTTCACTGGTTCAACAGCGCTATATATCGACAATCAAATGTGGACCAGACATCGTCCCTGGTGTTTAGGGATCGTAGAACTTGACTTTAGTGAAGAAAGAAGATATTTAACGTGGCTAGGACAGCCACTGGTTCATTCAAATTCACAGTTATTAAACTCCGTCTCTGTGCCAGGCAGTTTTCTCAACTCTAGGGACATCATTGTTTGTGGCGGGGGGAGGGGGGGGGCCTGAAAGAAATCTTTGCCCTCATGGGGCCTGGGTTCTAATGGGAGAAAATAGACACTCGTATATAAGGAACATATGGAGTGCATTAGAAAGTGGTAAGTGCAGGGAGGAAAAGAAAGACAGGAAAGGAGAAAAAGGGAACTAGGGTAGGGACAGTGGCTCCACCTTAGATGGAGTAGGTAGAGGGGGGCACCTTGGAGAAATGACCTGTGAGTAAGGACTTGAAAACAACACAAAGATAAGCTATGCAAATATCTGGGATAAGAGGATTCCAGGCAGAGAAATAGCATGTGCAAAGGCCCCGGGGCGGGTATTTGCCTAATATAAATTGTCCCTGCCCTCACGGAGCTCCCAGTCTAGTAGGGGCAGAGGAGACACACACACACATTATAATGCACTGTGATAAACACAATGAAGGACAGACTGTGCTAAGCGAGGGGCCACCTTTCAATAGGGGCTCAGGGAAGTCTGCCCTGGGACAACGCAGCATCCGCAGGTGCTCAGGAAAGGCTCATTAGTGTTGTTGCTCTTTGCATTAAAGGGGGACGTGAATCACTTTTCAGGGGAAGACAAATTAAGCCCCACCCCCTCTGCAGTCGGGGGAGGAACTGAGGCTTCAGTTATCACTGACTGGAAGTTGAGAGCAATTATGGTTTCAGCTTTTACTCCACCCAGGTTCTCGCCTGCAAGAAGCTGTTTCCACACATCCTCTTTGCCATTCCCGGAGTTGCAGGTGCTCAGAAAGTGGCACTAACTGTCGCCTTTAGGCAGCGATTTTCAACCGGTGTGCTGCAAGAATCTTTAAAACATGCAGTACCTGACTACTTTGTCGGGGACACTGTCCTCTTTTCCCTTAGACTGTCAAATTAAAAAATGACCACAGCCAACACAACGATGGCCGTGTGGTGTGAATGCCCTGTTTTGAACCATAAATATATCGGTCATACAATAGAGTTGCATCTTATTGGTCCCATTACATAATAAGTTTGCATCTGATTGGTTAATTCTTGGTACCAGAAATCCTTACACACAAGTATAGGCATCTGATTTTTTAAAAAGTCACTTTGGAGCCAAAAGGGTAGGTGATTGCTTTTTTTTTTTTTTAATCAAAGTTATATCTATTTTTTGTCAGATTGGCAAAAAGAAATATTTCTTGGTGTGCGGCAGAATTTTGGTAATTCGTTCGTGCGTGTCATGAGATGGAAGAGGTTGGGAATCGCCACCTCGGGGTGTTGGCAGCTGTGTCCTAGACTGGAAGGAGTGACTCCCCTCTCCTTTCTCCCTCTGCTCCAGGTGTCGCTATTACTCCAACCTCCGCCTGCCTCTGATGTACTCCCACCCTTACAGCCAGATCACCGTGGAAACCGAGTTTGACAACCCCATTTATGAGACAGGGGTGAGTTGGTCTCTTCTCTCTCCTGAGTGCCTCCCTCTTTGTCTGCTCCGAATTTGCTGACATCAAAACTGAAGGTTTGGTTTCCTTTGGCTCAGGGCACCCCTGGCAGAAAGGCATGGCCAGTGGTCCTGTCTCATCCCCACTGTGACCCCCGCCTTGAGCTAACTGCTGAGAGAGCGCTGCTGTCTTTGCAAGCGGATGACAAGCCCGTAACACAGCGCACTCCTGGCAGAAGGATCACAGAAAGAAGGGGCTGCAACAAATAGGAGAGACAGCTGAGATGGGTCGGAGCCCACTGGCGGCCTGGTAGCAACAGGCAACAGCCCCACGCATCTTACGAACTCCACACCTTAATGAGCAGCAGTGAGCAACATCCCTACACATTTGAGTGGCAGGCCTTGTGTTGGGTACTAGGGACACGGTCATGAACCAAGCAGACACAATCCAGCCATTAATGAGCTTACAGTCTTACAAAGGTGACAGGTATCAATAACAACAACAATAATATGTGTCACGAGCTGGGCATCTTACATGCATGATCTCCTGTGATAGATTCTGCCATTGTCTTTGCTTGACTCATGAGGATAATGAGGTTCAGAAAAAGGAAAATGTGACTTGGCCAGGGTCGCACACCACCAGAAGGCACAGCGTGGAGCCTGCTTGCCAACTCTACCTGGTGCCACTAATCAGTATGTGATCCTGCCTCCCTTCAAACTCAAACAATCAAACACGCCAATAAATACCTTGATTGCAACAAGTCATTATTCTTAAGGACCATGAAAGTAATCAGACAGATGCTACAAGAGAGTATGAGGGGGGCCGCTCATTGTAGAAGTGATGGGGGAAGGCATCATTCATACGGCGATGTAAAGCTAAGTCTTGTAGGGTGGGCAGGCCTTAGCTGGGGGTTATAGAAGATGCCAGGGAGAAGGGAGAGCCCATGCAAGGCCCAGAGGCACATGGGGGGAACCAGAAGCTTGGTGATGACTTTGCAAAACCCAACCCTTCAAACTCACTGTGTAATCATCTCCCAATATTCGGGGAGCATAAACTTGACTTGTTCTTTGTCCCTATTAATGTTCCCTCACCATCCCTCCCTTCTTCTGACCCCTGTGTTAGTTATTGACTGATGTGTAGCAATTTTTTTGAAAATTTAGGAGTCTAAAATAACACCTATTTATTATCTCATAGATTCTATAGGTCAGGAGTCCAGGCACAGCTTAGCTGGGTCTCCACTTCAAGGCTCATAAGGGCTGCAGTCTCATTTGAGGCTTGACTGGGGAAGGATCCATTTCCGAGCTCACATGGTTGTCGACAACATTTAGTTTCTTGCAGGATGTTGGAATGAGGGCCTCCGTTTCTTGCAGGCTATAATCTAGAGGCCACCCTTGGTTCCTTTCCATGTGATCTTCTCCATAAAGCAGCTCACATCGTGGCAGCTTGCTTCTTCAAAGCCAAGAAGAAAGAAAGAAATGGTGGAAAGAAGGGAAAGGGATTAGTCAAAGAACATGTATGAATTACCCATGAACATGAGCATGGACAACAGTGTGAGGATAGACTGTGGGAGTGGGGAGTGGGCTGGACAGAGGAAGGCAAAGCGGGAAAAAATTGAGACAACTATAAGAGAATAAACAAGAATAAAACAGAAATTAAAAGAAGAAAGAAAGAGTATCCTTGCAAGATGGAACTTGCAAACCTATTTAATAGAAAACACAGAAGTGGCCTCCTAGGACCCTTGTGCTCTATTCTGTTGGTTAGAAGCAAATCACAAATCCTCCCCACATGTAAGGGGAGGGGATCACACAAAGGCATGCATACCAGGAGGTGCAGATAATGGGGACCAGCTTAGAGTCTGCCTACCATACTCCCATATACCACAAAGCACAGGCCTGATTATATGTCTGTGTTGACAGAGCAGAAACTATAGACTTTCATTAAAGTGTTTCCTAAGGCACAGCCTTCTAGGGCACAGCCCATGACTTCTTAGTCCTCCCTGCTCCTCTGCCCCAGGGCCTGGAGCACATTACACATACTCCATCAATAGCAGAGAAATTGAACTAGTTGCTCCCCGTATGTTGTAGTCATTTTAGATATGACACTGGTGAGAAGAAACCATATGTTATTTTTCATTCCATGTTGCTTCTTTCTGAATCCTTAAAGAAAGTCAAGCTGATGAAAAACAGCACTTCAGAAACCCGACCTTGTTAATACTTATTAGGATAGTATATCAGTTACGTAGTGCTCTAATCATGCTACGTAACAAACAATCCCAGAACACAGTGGCTCAGAGCAACTCGTTAGTTTGCTCATCAATGGGCGAGGCAGTGTTTTCAGCTAGTTTCAACTGAGTAAGCCCTGGTTCGCCTGTACTCACCCACATACCTGGGACTGGCCGGTCACTGGCTGGTCACTGGCTGAGGACTCAGCTCTGCTCTCTATGCCCCTCATTTCTCTCACTCTGCTGGGACTAAAGGCTGTCATGTCATGCCCTGCTCAGGGTGAAGACAGAAGGGCAGGGCACAAGCAGAAACGCACAAACACTTCTCAAGCCCCTGCTGTGACCCATTTCCTTCTAACCCATTGGCCAAAGCAAGTCAGGGTCAGAGTGGAAGTCACTGGCAGTCACACGGCTGGTGTGGTGGGCAGAGGAGGGATGAAGAGCTAGAACCATCAATGCGTCCCTCTATCACACAAGGCTTTACTAGATCTATGCTTCTCCCCCTTGCAGGAAACCAGAGAGTATGAAGTTTCCATCTAAAGAGGGCGGCACTTGAGAAGGGAATTTACAGATACGAACTCAACCAGAACCTCCTCGAGAAATTCATCCAGAGACCATATGGCATTTGATTGAAAACCCCAGAGTGTCGGCTGTCTTTTCTTTAGACTCTTTATTGAAGATTTCCTGTTTTCTTCACTGTATTTATTATATTTAAAATTGAGATAGGTGTGGTTGGATGTATTGCAGCTGCAGCCAGATTCACGTTACAGCCTCGGCCAATGCTGTAGGCAGGTGGAAGGACCTGCAAAATGGCAGACACCACAGCAGAGGGAAAAAAAGCAAAAAGAGGTTGAGTTTCTCCCATCAGCAACGCCATTCGGTGGCTGCATCAAATTGCATGCATCTCTGAGATCCATGCCCATGGTGTTTTCAGTACAAATCAAAGTCCCCAGATTAGGTTGGAACGAGTATCTTTTCTGCTGGAGCAAGGTGGGTTGGAATTTCACATGGGTACTTAACCGGGTCTGCACCCAAATATGTCCTGCGTTCTCTCTCCCAATTTCCCCAGCCTCTGAAAGGTCTTGCTACATCCCCTCCTTCCCGTGGTCCTGCTGAAGGCAGCAAAGACATTCCATAAACCTGCTTTTATACCACCCTGGCCTCACTGGATGCTGGCAAAATGAGAAGATGTTTTCTTTCTAGAAGAGTGATAAATGACAAAGAAAATGTTTCAGAGCGGATGAGAGATTTGACAGTTCTGGGCAAAGGGGGACACTGGTTGAGAGAATCCAGTTAATAAAATGTTTTCCTTTGACACTCCTTCAACGATGAAGGAGCAGCTCATTTATCCGACAAGTGCCAGAATCGATCCCCGTGTTCGGCAAGGCCAGCCTCCAGCTGTGGTAATAGATCCGCAGCTTCGTCCACAGAGTCAGAAGCGTTCGCGTTGGAAGGGAGATGCCATGTCCTGAAATCCTGGGCGGGGCGAGGGGGTGGTGGGGGTGGGCGGTGAGCTCTGTTTCTCTCCTGCGGTGCCCGAGCCCTGAAAGCAGGGGAGACTCAAGGGCGCTGTTTCTCTACAAGGTATAACGTCGGGCTATATTTGCAATCAAGTCTCACAGGGGAAGGGAGGGTTCTATGAAAAGAAAACTATTTTTCTGTCCTCTGAAGCTGTGCCGAGACATTGGACCCTGGCGCGAACCCAGAGAAACAGAAGCTGCGGGGGTGAAAGCCACGCAGGAACCTGCATCGCATGATTCCAACCCCCGTGAGGAGAGGAGGAGGAATTCAGGCCAGAAAGGAATCCACGGCACCTTATTAACCACATGCACGTCCTTATATTTCATCAGTGGCATTTCCTCCCAACCCAGTGGGACTAGTGAGTCTGCACCTATCAAGGAAGATTCTTGTCTAAATACAGGTATTTTAAGAAGGCAGAGGGTGAGGACTCCTGGAGGGAAAAGTACGTGCAAGGCAAATTCACCTCCCTGGGACTGTCGACCACTTCCCTAGTGACAGCCGGTGGCTCTGGAAAGCACCCTAGTTCAGTGGTTTCAGAGTCCTCTTTGGCTCCCACCCCTGCCCTCCAAAATTGTTTTAAACTAGTTGTCAAGCACGCAGAGACATTTGTGACTGCCATGCTGTGTTGGTAGCTTGTTTGGGGAACCCCTGGAACAGCACAGGGTAGTTGGCTTTGCACACGGGCACATACCTTCTTCCCGACAGGAGGCTTAGCCTCACTGGGTCTCCGAGGTCTGAGACTGGAATATCTTCCTTCTGCCAGAAAAGAGAACGCTCCTTACGGGACGCAGGTGTGACGCACAGCAAGCGACAATGAAAGACTGTTTTGTGGCCACCCAAGGCCCAGCCCATTTTCTGAAAGAACGGGAGAAGAAACGTTCCAGACCACTAGTGAGTAATAATCACGTCTGGAGAAAGGCCAACAATGCAAATGACGTCCCCTTTTTTTGGAAGGCAAGACCCCATCTTTGCTTTTACTTCTGCTTGGTGATTATTCTAACCCTAACTCTAGGGCATCTCGAAAGAACTCTATTAATGATTCTTAATTTTAGAACATACTACGGTCCTGTGAAAACTAAACATTCGCCTTTCGTAAAGACTGACAAAATGTAAAATCTTTATTCTAACCTTGTCCCCATAAACCGGGCAGGCTACGACCCAGGAATTCTGGCCGGTTATTGGAGGGCTAGAAAGGTGTCGATTTTTTTTCCCCAGGATACTGACGTCTTAGTTCTGTGTTAGTAGCTCAGCACCTGTAACCATATTTTAAAAGTTTGTTTTAGCCTAAAGATGGATCGTGCAAGCTTGATAATGTACAGCGTGATTGAAAAGACAGGCCGGTGTCTATTTTTCTTTCTGATTGTGTATTTGTAACAGGTAAAGGTAAAGAAATAATTGTAATCGTGCCAAAAATGTACCAGGCATCTCATTTCAGTTCCTACGTGTCTGTTTTTATAAGATCAATATTAAAACCCATTGGGATTAAATATTTTTGAACAGGATACAATCTTGAGAAACTCGAGAATGGACTGCACCTTCCTACAAGCCACTCTCCGTTTTTAAAACAGCGGGGAAACACGTTTACAGAGATTTCGAGCTTCAAAGAACACATGTGATGGCGTGGATTACATGCTACTTTATAGAAGCCGGACCAGTCGGCTGGCGCCCTGTACTTTAAAAACACACACACTCCACCCTCCTCAGCTTGGAGCTCATTCTTTTGCTATTGGGGGGAAGGAGGGAGGGGCGTAGAATTACTTAGCCAATGTAACTCTTCTGGTCGCTCTTTGATGGCCACCTTTACTTCGTTCCATAGACATGCTTTAAATATGATCTTTGGAAGTCAGCTCCTTGGAGAGCCTACAGAACCTCAGGCTGACAGCTTTAGAAACTGCCCAACAGCCCTGCAGGAAGCAAAAGTGGCTACATCTTCAGGACGGTTGTGTAAGCAGAAGTGACTTGGCAACGAGATGGGTAAATTTAGACTAAGCATGAGCCTTGGGCAACAATGACCTTTTTGGGGGATAAGTCCAAAGAGCATGACTTTCCTCTGCCGGAGAGGTCAGGGTGGGTCATGGGAGTTGTTCAGCGCCCCCAAAGGTAGGCTTTCTCCTGGGGTGTTTTCATTTTCATTTTATCCCCAAACAGAATAAAAAGCAAAACCAACTTTCTAAGCTAGAGTAATGAAATTAAGTCATTTTCCACTTTGTATATATTGATGCTAATAAAACAAATGAAAAAGAGTCGAATCTATGGGGTTTTTGGTACCAGCTCTCCAGGATGGCACCAAGGGGGTGTTTCCAGTTTCCAGGGGAGCCCCCGCTGAAACGCTGAATGCCCAGGCAGGACTGCCACTTTGAGAAGAGTGCTGGCGCATTTGGGGAATATGTGGGACGAGGCCAGTGCACCAGACATACCGCTACCCTCCCTCCCTGCCCTAGGCAGCTCAGGCCGTCGTAACAACGCACCGCAGACAGAGTGGCTTAAATAATGGATACTTATTTCTCACAGTTCTGGAGGCTGAGAAGTCCAAGGTCAGGGTGGTGACCGATTCACTCCCTGATGACAGCTCTCTTCCTGGCTTGCAGACAGTATCCTCACACGGCAGAGAGGGACAAGAAGATCTCTTCTTCTTCCTCCTCCTCTCTCCTCCTCCTTCTTCCTCTTCCTCTGCCTCCTCATCCTCCCAACCTCCCTTCCTCTTTTCCCTCTTCCTTCTCCTTCTTCTTCATCATCTTCTTCTCTCTCTCTCAGGACCCTGCCCAAGATTTGCCAATCCTTTGTACTCAAAGACAACATAAGATCAAAAATAGTTTCTATGTGAATTTCATGGCTTAAAGATCTTAAAGACCTAGTTTTTATTGCCTTGCATTTCCAGTATGTTTTTGTTTGCACTAAACTAGGAAATTACCATCCTAAAACTATGCTGGTATTACTTCTGTTTGCAATATAGCTGCCTGGCACATAGCGGGCACACTGAAACATTTGTTGACGGAATGAACGTCAACCGGCAGAGGAGCCCTGGACACTTGAACGGTCCGCAGGTAGGACGGCCATGGGTCCCGTTAAACCACCAGAGGGCGCCCTCAGCATGGTTTGCTCGGAGGCCTCCCTAATTCTAAGGAAAGACACACACAACGTGCCCCCAAGAGTTATTTTCATTAAACAAAGTCACAGGATGCAAGGGGTTGTTTCTGATACAGCAGAGTTCTGTTTGGAGAATTAGCGGGCGCCCTTCACTCTGGCCAGAAACAGAGAAACCAACATCATTATCGTCCCGTCCTTGCCCATGAAAGGGACCCAGATCCAGCGTGTTACCAATGAGCACTGCGGTCTCCTTGGACCCAGGGCTCCTATAGTGTTGCTCTCAGCTGGAGTGCCACTCCAAGGCCACCGAGATTTTACAGGGCTTTTACTGATGTCCTCTCAAGAGGACTGAGTGGGAGGCCATCACAAGGCACGTGGCTCAGAGAAATGTCTTGAAAATCTACGGTAGCCACTTCTGTCCTCGAGAGTCTCACGTTCCTAGGGACCCACTCCAATCTCTCTCCCTCCCCAGATTCCGGTGTTCTCCCGGTGACAGCTGTGGCTCCCTGCTCACCGCCCCACCCCCACCCCAACCTCTTCCTTTCCTTCCTCATAGAGTTAACAAATTCAGAAAGTAAAAATAAAGGACACTGTTAAATTTGAAAATCAGATGTTTTTTAAAAAGCTTAAACCCCAGCTGGTGTGGTTCAGTGGGTTGAGCACCAGCCTGAGAACAGAAAGGTCACCAGTTCAACCTCCAGTCAGGGCACACGCCTGGGTTGCAGGCTGGGTCCCCAGTTGGGGACTTGTGAGAAGCAAATGATGGATGCTTCTCTTTCACACAGATGTTTCTATCCTCCTCTCTCTCCCACCCTTCCCCTCTCTCCAAAAATAAAAATAAATATTTTTTTTAAAAAAACATAAATCTTTAGTATAAGTTCTGACTATGGGTACCTTGACTACCACCCTGTGGTTCTGTGAGTCCAAGATTAGTTCAGAGATGGTCACGTGACCCCCGCCGGGCCAATGGGAAAGCACAATATTTGGGACACACTTATGCTAAAAATTATTCATCCTTTATTTGAAATTTTAATCTACCAGCCCTCCCTCCTCCTGCTGTAAAAGCAATGTCTGCCTCTCCCACTCAGTCTGCAGCATCTAAGTGAGGGAGGTAGGAGCCCTGGTCCCCAGAGAGCCTGCACTTGGTTTAATGCTCTGCGGTCATTGTCCTGCTCCTCTTAATAACTTTGGAACGAGGGCCTTGTGTTTTCACGTTCACCCCACAGAGTCTGTGCGCGGGTCGAGCTGAAGGTGTCCGCAGCGTCTTCCCAAAGTCGGGCCCTATGGAAGTGCTGAAGGCCTAGGAGAGGGGTCTCCTTTGGGCAAGAAGCGGACGGGGAGGAAAGCTGGACACACAGGCGCGGACTCATGTTAACTTGGAGGGAAACGCGCGTGAGAGAAAAGCGGAGAAGGGCAGGGCGCCGGCGCATCCTGGTTAATAACACCCCTCCCTCCGCCTTGCTCTCCTCCTCTCGTCCTCTCGGCTTTCCTCTCCTTCCTCCTTCTCCCGGCTCTCTGCCTCTTCCCTCCTCCAGTTTCCCGACTCTCTTTGGCTCCTCCCCGCTGCCCACTTCTTAAGATCTTTCATTCTTTCCCTCTAAGTCAACAAGGAGTTTAGTCCCCACGGGGACAATCTAGGCATAGCCCTCTGCCTCTCTTGCTCCTGGCCACCGTTTCTCTCTGGGTGTTGGTTTCAGTTCTGCTGGGTTTGTTTTTTTATTTCTCAGTCCTCTTTTCCCTTTCTGTCTTGCTTCTCTCTGTTTCTTCAGTCTTTGTCTCTTTCCCTTTCTCTCTCGGCCTCTCTCTGTGTTTCTCTGTCTCTTGTTATCTCTCTCTCTCTCCCTGATCCTTTTTGTTTCTGCTTCCC